TTTCATGGAATCGGTAAGTTTTGCTGATTTGAGAGAACTTCACTTGCTCATCCATTTTAGCTGGATTAAAACGAGGTGCATGAAAACTCTGATCCTAAATGCCTAAAATATTGGATTATCCTACTTGGAGTACCTTAATTTGAAATGGGTTGTTCAACATAATATCTAGTGCAGTATTGAGTGTGTTCAAACTTAGATTTGTCGAGGTAGATCTTACATTTTGGTTCCTAGTCCTACCCAGTGCTGTTTCATTTTGGAAGGAAGACATGGTTTGAAGCTGTTTCATTTTGGAAGGAAGACATGATTTGAAGCAAGCATCATCACTTTACTTATTCTGAATGTTTTTACTTGTGATATCTATTATTTGGATTACCTGATATAGTGTTATCATATGATACTCTCTGTTCTTTATTTCATTTTTCATGATTTATTTGTTAATGTCAGTGGAAGTTCCAAAAATACCACAACGACTTGCTGATGGATCTGTGAATGGTTGTGCAGCATTATTCTTCTTCATGGACCTCCCGGCACAGGCAAGACCTCTTTATGCAAAGCATTGGCACAAAAGCTCTCAATACGCTTTAGCTCAAGGTTATTAAAGTAACTGTTATGTGGCTCCCCATATTTTTGTGATCTTCTTTTGCATGATATGTCTAACATTTGGCTGTTGTTCTCAAGTCAGATACCCACAGTGCCAGTTGATTGAGGTTAATGCACATTCCCTCTTCAGCAAATGGTTTTCTGAAAGTGGCAAACTGGTAAGACCAGTATTCTCTGCATTTAATTTTTCATTTAAGATGGGATGGGAGGTGGGGGGGAGGGGGACCTAACGCTCCAAAATGTTAGATATAGATGATTGGAAAGTGGAAACGAGAGCTTTAGTTCGGCCTAAATGAATTTAATACAAATTGGATCAACCTAAAATGATGAAGATTAACAGCAATGGGGTGAAAACATGATCTGCTGGACTATGGAAATCGCATATTTTAGATAGTGTGTGTACTTTCACAGATTTCACATATACATCTTTCTGGATCAAGAAAATCGTATTTCTTGGTTAGATACTTTTGCATATATATAACGCAAAACCAGTCCTCAATTTTCTGTGCATAAATCTCCAAGTCAAACATATATACTTGGATTGTACTTTTAGTATGATTACTAAAGGTCAGAGTTTGGTGTAGTCTTGAGATTAAAAGTTGCACAAGTATATGGTTATTTATCAAGGATTACTATATCTTATTGAGTTTGTTGTTTTGGCCTCCAAATATTAGCCTGAGCCTTTACATGAACTAACGTGCTTGCTCTGAACTCATAATAATTTCAGGTTGCAAAACTTTTCTCCAAGATACAAGAAATGGTAGAGGATGAAAACAATCTGGTACTTGTCTTGATCGGTGAGAATTTTTTATGTAGAATTGTCAATTTGCCATGATGATTGGGTTTCAACATATATAAAGTGTCACAATCATATGTTGTAGATGAAGTTGAAAGCCTTGCTGCTGCCAGGAAAGCTGCATTGTCTGGGTCTGAGCCTTCAGATTCTATAAGGGTATATTTCTTGCATTAAAACAGAGTTTTTAGTATACTCGCCTCACCCACAGAGAATTCAAATGTGGTCTCCCAGGTTGTCAATGCTCTTCTGACCCAGATGGACAAGTTGAAGTCCTCACCTAATGTAATAATCCTAACTACGTCAAATATAACTGCTGCTATTGGTAAGACATGTTTTTTTACCTTTTTAGTTTCCTCCCATTTTTCTGGAATGATGTTTTTCGATTCCTTCGGGCCAGGAAGTTAAGTTTTTTTAGCCGTAAAATGTCGAGATAATGTGGAATATACCTCACATCATTCCCCTTAGATCTGGAGGACATCTTTAACTATTCAATTGCTGTTATTGGTTGGAAACAAACCAAAATTGTTGACAAATGAAAAATATATATATACAAGATATAATTGATATAAAATATTTCTTGACAATGCCACAGAAGTATTGAAAGATTATAACCCATGGTTGCAGATATTGCATTTGTGGATCGAGCTGACATAAAGGCATATGTCGGGCCTCCAACTCTCCATGCACGATATGAAATTCTGAGATCTTGTTTGGAAGAGCTTTTAAGGACAGGAATACTTTCAAATACCGAGGTTCAGGTATGCATTACTATGCATATACAACTTAATATTTTGCAGCCAGCTGTAATTATTAAGTGCAGTACTTAGTAGCAGTACAACTTATTATTTTGCTAAGTTAGCAGCTATACTGGAATTCATGTAGGCTGGTCACCTCCTGCCAAGTTTTACTAGTCTGAGAGAGCAACTGAATACGAATGTGGTACCGGAGGCTGCAGCCTCATTTAGCATCTGCAAACAATTGCTTGAAGCTGCTGAAGCATGTGAGGTAATTTCAATATATCTTAGTTTACAGATTTAGTCAATTATGTATTCTATTTAGGGAGGACTTGTCGGAACTTCTGCTTTAGTAAGTGATATATTTTGCAGAAATTGAAGTAGTTGAGAATCACACTAGTTGGTTTTGGAAAATTTGAGCTAAAATTGAATAAGAGTATTCATTCAGTCAAGTGTCATAAAATCAAGAAGAATTTGGCATTCGAAAGAAGAATCGTGGCAATCACTTTACTTTTCAGTTCAAGAAATTCTCAAATGGTGCCCTTGATATGTCCACATATGTTCGATGATTCAGATGGTTTGTTAAGCATAATTTCGTTCAAACAACTCCAAGTGACAAATAGGCTTCATCATTTACTGAATAGTGCACTTTCATTTATCACCAGGGATTGAGTGGACGATCGCTCAGGAAGCTTCCATTTTTGACACATGCAGCACTTGCAAATCCTCTTGGCTGTGAACCCGGAAAATTCTTACTTAAGATGACCGAGACAGCTAAAAGAGAGTGTTCTCAGATACTTGATTGAAATTTAACGGCCGCACAATCAAATGATCCTACTTCCATTTTCATGGAGTCCAATTCTGTTAGTCGCGGTGCAGAAATTGAAACCGTTCAAGAATCGTAGAATTTGAGAGGGGCTTGATCTGGCTGTTCTATGCAACAACAATTTGTAGCTCGATAGGAAAACCGATTAGCAATATGTGATAATAGTCGAAGTATACGTAGGAGAGATTTGTTCGATGTTGTTCTCTATTGCTTTCATTGATGGCTGAAATATATATAATTGGCCACAGGTTATCATGGATTCATGTATGTAGTCTTAGTTAGAGACAAGCAAAGTACTTTGACAGGGATCGATGTGTTGAACCATTGAATTTTTATGGATGCAGACTTGGACGAAGATTCGACTTGGCTGATTGTATAAAAGAATCTGTTCAATTAAAGATTCTGAATGATGGATGCCTTCATTCTTTTCTGGTGTACAATTTTGTGAAATGCATACTAATATCAATGAGACATTTGAGAAATTCATAACTTACTTTTTTCCTTTTTCTGTTTATTTGAAAATACATAAAATTTAAATAATATCTCAACTTCTCAGGTGTTGTTTGTTATAAGCCAAGACAATTTAAGTGATTATGCCCTTCTCACAAATATGCGTGCATGCACAGCAATTTTCACATCTTCTGCTGATACGAAAGCGTGAGAAACTGTAACGAAAAACACCCAAACGAGTAAGAATACAACCGGTACAATTCTGGAACATGTTTGGAATATTAAGATCACAAAAATATTCATCTTGTGTAAAGGATAGACCGTGCTTTTCTGGTCGCCATAACTGAATTTGATATCAAAAACCTTATACTATTCCACCACTGCAAACAGACACCTAAACTTGAAAACTGATAATTCAAACACATGAAAGAGGCAGAAAAAATGAATATTAGATAATTTGCTCTAACCTCTAGAGCTAAATCAAACAATAATATTAATACCTTTCTCTCTTTGCGAATCATGCACTATGAAGCAGAACCAAAAAGTGCACAGATTGCATCGTGCTTACGAATATGATGTGGGCACTTGTAGAGCAAATCTTTCGCCTCAGAATATCTACCGTTATCAAAAAATGACTTGAAAACGTGCCGGTAAGCTGAAACAGCCGGATATTCCTTCACACTCAAGGCCGTCAAGAACTCATGAGCATCATCAACCGACCCAAATTTAGAAATGTACTCAACAAAAGGTTCAGCAAAAGGCGGGTAGTTTTGTTTTTTCATCAGACGAAGAAGGTCCATGGCCTCTTCGAGTTTCCTCTCCATCAAAAGCTTCTGAATCAAATTCTTATACGTCGACTGCCAAGGTCTCAGCCGAGCCTTCTGCACCAACTGATCCAATAGCGTGTACGCGCCTTTCGTTCTCGACTGACTCAAAAACCCATTTATCAAAACATCTAAAAGTTCACCATCGGCATCAAAGCCCTTTCCCACCATTTTAGCAAAACAAAGCAAGGCCTTATCGATCTCATAGCCCGCACAATGCCCTTTTATCAAAATCGTCCAAGTCTTTATATCGGGAGCACAACCCTTTTCCTCCATTAAATCAAGAACTGCAGAAGCCTCCTCGAACCTTCTGAATTTACAAAGCCCGAATACTAACTGGCTGTAAGTGATGTTATCAGGTTCATAACCTGCAGCTTTCATGGCCTCGACAATTTCCTCCGCCTCATCGAATTTTCCGAGGCTGGCCAGAGACCTATGAATCCCATCGTATATGTTTTTCGAGAAAGGGTTCCCTCCTGCCTCGTATTTATTTACGACTCGGTACACCAAATCGAGATTCGGGCTGCCATGAGTCGCGAGTGTTCGTAAAAGGGAATTGCACTCGGTGATCGAGGGCTTAAACGAACTATCCATCATGTGCTCGTATAGTTTCACGGCATCAACCAGCATTTTGTTCTTCTGGAGCTGCCTCGAAACTTTTATATACGTATCGAGATCCAAATCGAACCCTGCATTCTTCATATCCTCTAGCACAGACCAAAACTCGGCAATCGACTCTTCCCAACAGAGAACCCTCAAGACTCCGTTATAGGTAACACTATTGTGTTTGAAATTTAAATTCTGTTCAACCCACTTGAAAAACTTAAAAGCTTTCAAAGGATACCCTCTTCCTCTGAGCTCCTTCAACACCCTCAGCACGAAATTATCCGAGATGTTAATTTCCATATTCGCCAATTCACCCTCGATCCGTTCTCCCCACTCGGCATTCTTAATCACACCAACTACTTCTTTCACTCTATCCTCCATAGCATTTTCATTAATCAACCTCTCATAGAAATGCCTCAAAGCAGTAGCCTCGTTTTCCATCTTCAACCCGCGAAAGGTCGTGTAAATAGTCTTGTAAGTCTCCTCATCAATATAATACCCTTTCTCTTTCATTTCCTTGATTTCCACCCAAAACTGCTTCAAGAAATCCTTACGAGCGTAGATTCTTAACACCAAGCTATAAATAGACGAGCTGGGCTCGAACCCATTTTTCTCCACAGCCCATTTGAAGAAAAATGAGACCTTTTTGGGTTCTTTGCTCAGTTTCTTCAACACATACATAACGGTTTCATGAGTTAGCTCCAGATTCGAACCTTCTAATTCTTTATCCAGCTTCTTATCCCAATCATTGGAGGAAAAAATCTCTAGGAATGAGTCGGGTTTGGATGAAAAAAAGAGTCTTTGATTGTGGGAGTTGGGTTTAATCGGAGTGTGGATTTTATCCGGCGAAAAAAATGTGGAGAAATTAACGAGATGGGTCACCTGTTTGTGAAGAGAGCCGGTGGAGGACGGCGAATGAGCCGAGAGGAGCGAGTTAACGAGTCGATAGTGAGTCAGGATTCGCTTTGCCTTGTTCATGGTTGTTTTGAAAGCAGTGCAGCTATGGAGTTTCAAGGGTTTTGTTTTATGGGTTTAAAGTTGAGGTTTGACATTTTAACCGACTGGGTCGCACACCCACCGGATTATCCGGTTTAGATCTCGGATCGATTCGATTATTATTATTATTATATTATTATTATTATTATTATTATTATTTTTGTTACGAAACGGAAATGAAATCGAGTAAATAAATTCCATATGATTAATATATTAAATTTTATAGAAGTCGAAAAAGAACTGAACCGTGCTATAATAGTAATAGTTTAGTTAATTTGATTCACCCGTACATTGTTTTTCATTTATATACATATATGATTATGTTATTTCAAATGTATTAGTTTTGCTCAAAAAATAATGTTTTGTGGTTTAAAAATAGTGTAGTAGCTATCTAAATGAGCCCATTTGTTGTTTCCAAAAAAAAAAAAAAAAAAAGGAGCCCATTTGTTTTTCATTTATATATTGATGATTATGCTATTTCAAATATATTAGTTTTTTTAATAAGGTAATTATTGTTTTGTGGTTTAAAAATAATGTAGTAGCTATGTAAAAGAGTCACACTTGTTCAACTAAATATACAAATTCATCTTGCCTTCCTTTTTTTTTAAATAAAATAAAATAAAAAAAAAACTTTATTTTTCCTCAAATTTGCCTTTATAATTGCACAACCATAAATACAGGCCCACATTATATGCACCGAAAATTTCAGTATTTGCATTGTCATTATCTTGTCAATAATCAATACTTTTGTCTTTGTAAGGTGTCCAATCCACAATTTCATAATTTGTTACAACTTTCCTTTTTTTTTTTCAACTTTTTCTAAATGTGACCCATCACCCATACTTTTTTTGCTTGCGTTTATATGTTTATACACCCTTTTAGTTTCTTTAATATAATATACATGCATGATGACCATTGATTTTGTTTATTCCTGCAATCAATTTGCCTCATCTAATGTCACACAAATGTAAACGAGTCGAGATGAACTTGAACTCTTAATATATGAATTTATCTCAATAAATTTAAGATTCGAGCCTTAAGTCGAGCTTGGCTCGCTTATTTCCTATCAGAAGAAATGATTTCTTCTAAACTATCTCGTGCTCAACTCGTTTATCAACTTCAACGAGCCAAAATCAAATTGAGCTGCAGAAACTTATGCAAGAATCTTTATTTTCGAGCTTTTAAGAGCCGAGTCGAGTTCGATTAATTAAGCTATATAATTCAATTCGTTTCATTTACCAACTCTATCTGCAATTGCAGCACTTTTGAGGTGAGACTTCCATTAAATAGTTCACTTGTACTATTGCCACATGTCAAATATCCATTTAGCATCTATTGAGTGCCAAAAAAGCTATTCCAGTGACTGACCATATAAACATATAATTGAGCATCTCTCACTATGAGTCCATCACTGTACTGAGTTTCATTTGTTTGCTACCATTTTCTATTCTCCACAAGAAAACCCCTTTAACCTCAGTTTTTTTTTTTTTTTTTTTTTTTTTTTTTTTTTTTATTATAAAGTTAGAATCTTTATCTCAATCTGGATAATATATTTGTTGGGTTCCTCTAATTTGAGTGAATAAATTCCTTTTTCTTACAACTGATTCTTGTTTCCTCTGTGTTCTGTCTGTCTGATATTGGAGAGAATTAAGTATAATAATCATCTTTTTTTAGTTTTTACTTTATTTGTTCACCAAGAATTAGAAAATGGACTTGGATTTCTGGGCTGCAAGAAATCATAGGCTTAGCAATTCTGGTAATTGAATAATTTTATTTATGTCCATGTTTTTGTTTCTTGAATATGATTTGCTTTCTGATTCTTTACAACCCTGTCATTGTTCATAATTTGGGTGTTCAAAGGTGCTAACTTTAGGGAAAATGCTACGGTCCCGTTACAGAACCACATTCCGTCGGGATTTGTAACCGTTTGATCATCATGTAACCGTCAGGGATAGTGGATCTAACGGTTACAACCATGACGGAATGGTATCGTAACGGGACCGTAGCGTTTTCCCCAACTTTAATCTACTAACATTTGGGCTGTAAATTACTGATATTGGTGGGTGTGGATTTCTGCTCAAATTTGTTGAAAAGGAATCATAATATCAGAAGTTTTTTTGATAGTTTATAATCCAATTTGTGTTGAGGATGGGGTGAATTGTGAAACAATTTTAGCTAATTTTAAATTGGAGATTATCGTTTGGGTTTATGAATAGGTAGTCGTGTATATGGAGAAGACGAAGAAGCCGATGAAGTGAAAGCGTGGTTTCCTTGTCCATTCTGTTATGTGGAAATCGAACTTTCACTGCTTTGTGTTCATCTGCAAGAAGAGCATTGCTTTGACCTGAAAAATGCGGTATCGAACATTAATCCATTCTCTGCTTTACTATTACAATGGAGTTAGAAAATGTAATGACTTTTTTTGTTCACAACAAGTTCACAACATTTAGCAAGAATTGTTCAAGTATAAGAACTCATGGCTGTTGTGTATTTTAGTTCATCCTTTTTAGTACCACTTCTTATGTTTCGATTCGAATTTGCAGGTTTGTCCCATATGTGCTGCTAACTTAGGAAAAGACCCACTCGGCCATTTCACAATGCAACATGCACAATCGGTTAAGGTACGCATTTTCTCCGTGTAATGGGAACAATTTGCTATATAAGAAGTGATTAAAGAGGTGATTTTCCTTTTCAATTGTCAGAGGAGAAAAAAGTGTCAAAAGGCTGGAAATATTGTAAAGGACTTGAGGGACTTGAGTTCATTTCTCAGTGCTAATAATTCATTGACTAGTCGAAGCATTGGGAACGAACCAGCTCACGACACACTCCTTTCGGATTTTTTACGCAACATGCCTATGGATTCACCTCGGGAAGACATATCTTCACGCGTTTTTGCAACAAGTGATGAAGAAAGGTTAGCTTCCATTTCCCAAAAGTCCCGAATTTGACGTTTTTTTTGTGCAGTACATTTTTCTCGTAGGATAATTTTGATATCGAAACATGCTTTCGTATTATTTCGAATGCAACTGAAATCTAGACTTTTGAGTGTTGAATTTCTCTGATCTGTATTTTGGTTCACTGCATTTTTTTGTGAAGATTAAATGAGTATATACTACAGACACAGTGCAAGGCATAATTTTTCTTGCTGCTAATTAGTGATGCATTTTGGTTACAATTTGGTTCACTTTCTGCCAAAATCAACGTCCAAATTCTAGATAGAACAGCTTATGAAGTGTTGCACATTTTGTCTGGTTTTGATGTTTCATGCTTTTGTTTAACACCAAAGATGACTGATTGTCTGTTTTTTTTCCTGCTGCAGCAGACTTTCACCGTTGGACGAGGTTACAGAACAGGATTTTGAAGAGAAAATGCGTCGGGCCTTGTTCATACAAGATCTTCTTTTGTCGACTATTTTTTAATACATATATGGAGCATTTTTTCGGTTTTCATGCTTTCGGGGTTTGCAGCCACCACGTTTTAATTTAGTAACGATGCGCGGTTTCAAGATATTAAAATCTGACGAAAGCTATAAATCGAGCCATAAATTGAGCCAATGTACCTGTAATAAAATTTATTTGGGACATGATATGATGTTATGTACTTATATTACATGTTAGCTATTGATTCATAAGAAAACCTGTAACTTAAGTGAAGATTATTCATACATTTTTTCCCCACTTGATCAAAACCTAAGAGTGAAATTTGAAAATTGGATCAAGAACTCGGCAAATTGTAATTTTTCATTGTTTTTTCCTTCCTTACATCATTAGCAGCAACAGATTTCAGATACACAATAATGTTTTTCTTCTTCTTGGAATCTTTATGTTTCACACATTACCCAGCAACAGCAATTCAAAAAATACCAACAAATGCCAAAGAGTTTATGCAGCACAACCTCTCCATAGTCTGTTCACAAATCACAACCACATAAGTTTGGCACTTAACAATACAAGTCGATCTAAAAATCTACATTATTCCGGAAAATATAGCATTTTCGGGCTAAAATTGAAAGCTTTAACTATTGTATTGAACTCATTCTTCCAAAAACTATGAGCACCAAAAAAAGGCAGTGGATCTAAAGTACTTGTTTGCAGTCTGAAATGATAATACTGAAGACTTTCAATCCTTTCTGTCCATTTGCTCAATGGGGAAGTTTACTGCTTCTTGAGTGCGTTCATTTTCTCCCTGAGATAGTAAAGCTTGGCCCTCCTCACTTTCTTCTTCTCCAGCACTTTTATCTCCTTTATATTCGGAGAGTACCTGCCAATATTGACCCACAAGATTAGAACTATTGTTCACCGTATTGTCCAGTGAAAGTAACGGACAAGCCGGTTAATCACTGAAAAATGCAAGAATAACAATATTAATCGAGGTTTGCTGGAACTTTGCTTTAGGATATGGAGATGATGAAATTTAAGCACTTGGGCCATTTTTTGTGAACATTATTATGAATTCACTATTCTCCTAATCAATGATGATGAATAAATCAAGAGAATAATTTGTAGGCAACTCAAGAGATAAATAAGATGGTTACAGTAAGAAACCTAATAGGCCTTGGCTGATTCCTGTGTTCAAGTCTGGTTATAATAAATAAGTAGTTTAGTTAGGTTAGGTCCAACTATTTCGAAAATTCCAAATACTATCTATATATCTGTTCATAATATAAAAATTGCACCGCAGTGGGCTATTACTTGTTACGAGAACACAACCTTTAAGTATAAGTATCATAATTGTTTGTTAAGGTATATTTTGCAATTGTACATAAATAGTTAAATAAGTAAATCAAGCCACTATGTTTAGCAGCCAATGGTAAAACATTTCCAACAATCCCACCTCAGAACAATCTCAATCATACACGATTTGATGGATCCTTTTAGCATTTTCATTTGTTTATATCATAGAATTCAAGAATCACCAAAATCCAAAGTATTTTTGTTGGAAGTGCAACTATAAAGTATAAGGCAAGCGCACACGAGCATATACACACACAAAAAGTAGTTATGGCTTTAAACAATATAACACTGACTGCACAGCATAAATGGAATAAGAACTCACAGTGGGAATAGAGACTCAATGCCAACACCTGCAACAAGCCTCCTTATTCTGAAAGTGGTATTTAGACCAGCATTACGTCTAGCTATAACAATCCCTTTTATAACTGAAACACGTCGCTTGTTCTCCGGTACTTCCTGTGATAATAAGATCATGCAATCAAATAAAAAAAAAAACAATTTCAGTAGAAGAGAAAGCACAAAAACAAATAATTTTTTTCCAGTGGGGGGTGGGGGATATCAATTACCACTTTCAGCTGGACAATATAACCAGGCCTTATATCAGGTATTTCTCGGTTCGTTTTCACTTCCTCAACGGCTTCTTTATCAATTATCTGCAGTTCGGAAAGCAAATAAACCTATATAAGGAAAAGAGAATGTCCTAATATATCATGAGGAATTGAGGATAAAGAATGCAACGGAAAGAGTTAAGCAAAAAATAAAATTTGTGCCTGCATGATATGTCTTGCTGTTTTATCGAGCCTCTTGAATTTGATGCGCTTGGTTACATCAGGAGAAGGAGAATCAGAAGCAGAAGCAGAAGCAGAAGCATCAATAGAAGTAGAGGTTGATGTTGTAATATTTCTAGTTGGCCAAGCAGATGCTATAGCAGCTGACCGATCTAAACTCAAAATTTGTCCTCCAGACGATGGCAACATTGAAGCTAGACCATATCTTTTAAAAGATGGTGGTATAAAAGTTTTTGGGCCAAAACTTTTGTCCTAAAGCAGGAGAATATTGTTATAATAAGAACCAAACAGAGAAAAAAAATAGCACTATAAAATCTGGACGGAAATTAATATCAGTGCATGCATGTGAATTGTGACCAAAATGAAAACATCAGAAACTCTCCACATGTAATATGTGAATTGTTCAATTTCTCGCACAAATTATCAAATATATAGCAAGACAAACAACTAAAATTCAAGATGATATTTTTTAGTTTTTTCTATTTTTTCATTTATCTGCGGACATAATACACTTCCAGCCTTTCCTCTTCCATTTCTCTCTCTCTCTCTCTCTCTCTCTCTCTCTCTCTCTCTTCTCTCTCTCTCTCTTTTTAAGCTACCGAAGTAAGCATAACAAATAAATCTGCACAAACACATCTAAATAATAGTCCTACATGTTCATTCCAATAGTAAGCACAACAAATAAATGTGCACTAACATATCCAATGATAAATCGGTACCGACACATCTGACAACCAAAATAATATCCAAAAACTTGAAAAAATCAAGAAACAAAACTGACACTCAGTCAAGGAACGCAGTCAAGTGCACCCCAGTCTCAAACATCCTAACGCTCATATTAGCTCAATCACTTGTCTGCCTTAACTTCATTACGCAGAACAAGGAATTCAGGTCTGCCCAATCACAGACATCCTAAAGCTCATTCACTTGTCCTGCTTGACTTCTTTATGGAGAACACATAAGTATATAAGAAACTTCTCCAAGGGTTCTTAAGCTAAAGATTGCAGCATGGGATTACGTACATAGCAACACATTTCACAAACATCCCAATATTTCACACCTTTCATAAGCTAACAAACAGTGATTCAACCAAAAGATACAAATTAATAACAGACAAGCAATCATCGCAAAGAAGAAACAAAACCTCGTACCAGAGAAAATGCTGTTCGGGGACCTGAGCGCACAGAGCTATATTTCGATTCAAAAGATGCGAAGTTTCTCAGCTCGATGAACCTCGGATGGTTGAGCGTTTGCTTCGCAGCCTGCCGGAGCTTGCCGCACGCCGATTGCATTTTCTACGAGAAATTCAAAAGGAAAACTTCAAAATGCATGAACAAAATTGGGGTTACCTTCGAATGGACAAGAGCTTGAAGGCAGCTTAAACCCTAATCGAGGACACACAGTCGTCGACTGTCAGTGGTAGTGGCGTTGGAGGTTTTTTCACCGTATAGCGTATTGCGTCACGTTTTAGTTATTATACTGCGTAGCGTAAATAGTGTAGCGTATTGCGTAATTTATTCAAGCAATTCACTTGTAATGCCAATAATAATAATATATATCATCATACAAGTAAATAAATAATTGAAATGGTCATAAACTAACTTGGACATTAAATTTAAGACATAACATTCAAATATTAATTCATACAAACAACCAAAGTTCTAGTCATTAACATAAAAAAAAAAAATCTAAACAACGTGAGCAATATATGCTATTGCGAAATAATATGCTATTGCGAAAATAGCGTATGTTATCGCGTAAATAGCGTGATTTTTTTTTACGCTACAACACGTTTTCAGCTATAATTGCGTTGTTGCACGCTATGTTAAGATACGCTTTTAAAAACGCTGGTTTTGTATTAGATAATGGACGTATTTGTCCTTTCGATTTTTTAAATTTCCAACAATGTCCCTATGTTTTGTGAGGAGTCAATGAAAGGGAAAATTTCCTTTGAAATTATGCTATTTTGACTATTATTTTTTTTTTTTTTTTTTGGAATTACATAAACGATGTATAAATAATTAAATCTATAAATTGTTGGTTTTAAATTTTATGCGAGTAAAACCATGAAATTTTGTCACGTGTGCATTATGTCAAATTTTATGTTAACCATCATCACAAAAGTTTATTTATTTACTGTTGAATACATCGCAAAAATATCAAAACAATCGAAAAACAAAAAATGCAAATAATTCAAGAGGGAAAAACAATCATCTTCAATCTTAGTTTTTATTCTTTTTTATTTATTTATTTAGTTTATCTCAACAAAATGAATGAAGTATAAGACTAAATAAAGGATGCTAAGATGAGTTTTTTTTTTCCCCTTATTGGATTGACTTTCTTGAATTAATAGTATGTTATTCCAATTCACTATAATGAATGATACCTTTAAATTCAAATATTATACTATATAAAATAGTATAAATAGAAGTACAACATTTATAATAATTTAAGCATGCAATTTTATTAAAACCATAAAAAATAAAATTGAGGATTGACATGCCTAATGCAATCCAAGAATTTGTGTAATAAACATGAGTTAACTCTTTTTCTTT